CCTGAGTTATTAAGGAAGTTCTTTATGCATCCTGCTGGACCCTTTACCATATTCTTCTGGGCTCCTGCTATCAAATGGGGTATATCTGCTGCCAACTTAGTTGATTATAAGAGACCTGTTGAAAAGGTTAGTATCCCTCAACAGCTTGCTCTATTCGCCACTGGTAATAATAGTAACAATCCTTAGTGGAATGATAATCATCATCTCAGGTGTTATCTGGGCTCGTTGGTCATTTGTTATTACACCAATTAACTACAATTTAGCAACTGTTAACGTGTGTCTAGCCTCTACAGCATTCTATCATTTGATAAGAAAGGTAATAATACTATAGTAGTAATGATGAGCATGCTATTATCCAGTTGGTATATGATCCCTTCCCCTCGGTCGTCGTTGAAGATGATCATAAGAAGTTACCCTAAACTTAATGATGATGATAACAAGTTGTTATTTCCTCACTCATCGGTTATATGTGTCATCATAGTACTACTATCTAGTATCTGTCATCATCATGATGAAACATAATAGTACTTCCTACTCCTATTGTAGTCGTAATCGTTGTTACGCATTACCTTGCATTATCACTTTCCATACCCAAATGTGTGTTATGTTGTTATACTAGTTTATGGTCATCACTCAATATCCTATGACATAAGGCCTACTACGGTAGATTGGGATTCTAGTGTGATGCAGGTGTAATCCTTAATGGGTGTATGTAACCGCTCTGACTAGCATGCGTGACCTAACTACATATTCATCACTCTATTGAAGTAACAAGTATTGAATATCGTTCTATCGTTATACTCCTATGTAACGCAGTGCATAGTATAGTATTCAGATATTACCATCATATCATATGATCAAGCCTTTAATTTGGTACTACTCCCTTGCAAGGTATTATCATTGTTGTCAGACTAATGATACTGTTTTATCACCATAAAGCGGCAGCACTTCAATTACACTGAATTATGTAAATAGACATACATCTTGTTGTCGATTGTAAACTCAAGAATATTATCATAATGGAAATGACTGCTGCACATGGTAGTAGATTTATATTATTCATCCATCCTATCATGATCATCATCCGTATCAGCATTGTTACTTTTCCCATCCTTCTCGAGGTGATAGGCAATCGATTCACTAACAGAAGGGTTATTATATTACTTACTAAGGATGACACTACTAGTACCTGAAATATGAATTAGGATGGTTACCAACACCATCTCCACTACTGCCAGGATGCATAATACGAAACCATTCCTGAATAATAATTATACTAGTGAGTTATTATAATAGAGTATATGACCTGACAAGCAAGTTGTGCCTCCCTTTTACTCTTCTTAGTAATATCATCAATCATAATAGCTGTCTGTTGTGGTTGGAAACCACCCGTCTCTGCCCAATTACTTAATGTCTTACGTAATACATGTTCATCCATATTCCTGGATACAACAATACTACGTAATTAATACAGTACTACTAGTAGTAGTAATAGGGATTAGAGTATTATTAGTACTACTTGAAGGGACATCCATGAAATTTGATCACCAGTAGGATACTCAAAGCCAATAATAGTACTACAGCTTAATGCTTGGGCTGGCTTCATACGTCCAACATAATTAATATATACACCACAATAGTAGCACAGTAGCAACTCATTATTATACTTTACCATATACCCATTTAATATCATAACTATAATGACGATCAAACTTATCAGGATCGATGCTCTGATCTCGTGTAAACTCGGTCTTAAACCATCTTAGACTATCATCCATATTCAACCCTAATAAGTATAACAATATCATCATCATACTAGTAGATAGGACTAGTAGTAATACCAGCAGATCTCAAGAAGGGGGGTAACTGTTGCCTGCCTCGATGTTTTAGATGGGTCTTCTTATGTCTCATATGTTCAATCAAACTCCTCATACACGGTGGGAAGGATCGTTCTAATAGCTAATAACGACAAATGATGATATTAAAAACAATACTACTATTACTACTACCAGATTGAAATTATCCAAAGAGAGCTTCTCGGAATCTGGTATATTATCCATGTTATTGCCATTAGATGGTCTATTAACATAATAACATAATAGTATTAATGAATATATCACTCACCTATATGTTGGATGCATATGCTTAACTATACTAGCTATACGTGGATCATTCATAAATACCGTACGTTCCTGTAATAATAATACTACTATTAGCATGATGATGATAATGATGGTACTGTTAACTATTACTTGTAGAGCTATTGCTAGATGTCTGCGTAATTGCTCTCGATAGGTCCTATTAATAATAATAGTTATAATAATAATAAGTTACATACACCTACTTGCATAGTAAAGTCCCTAGTTGGGTATCGGGTATATAAGCCATACCTCCTATTATCACTACAGCCCTTTTAGCTATCAGTTCACTAGAACAATACTGAATGATGATAATAGTAGTGATAATAATGGATCATAACAGTATAATGATGAGTACTCACTATAAATGGTATCTCATAGAATGTAGTAGAACTTAATGACGATGTAGTAGTAGTAGTGCTTGTTGCTTTACGTAATATATCGATTAGTTTCTTACCAATGTTACCACTAGTATCTGCTGTCAATATATATACCG